GAGGGGTGCGCTTGGTCCGCGGCGGCTGTTGGCGAACGATTGGCCCGCGAGCGCACTTTCGCTCTTCCGCCCGCGATCTCCGCAAAGTGAAGTTGCTGACACACAGGAAACCCTCCCCGCCGCCTGGAGCCCGCTGCCTGCTCCGGAGCCGACCAGTCACAGGCCGGAGTCTCGAAGGCCCCCTAGCACCAAGCCAGGTGTTTGCAGACTGCAAACAGCCAGCAGTCCCGGCTGGGAACGCCCAGGCCAAGCGCGGCGCCTCGCTGTGCCGAGCACATGTAGGAACCTGCTGCTCCCGGGCGCGCGAGCCCCTGGAGAAGCGAGGTGGGGAGGAGGCTGGCGAGGCTCCTTCTGCCCGTCGCATTTGTTCTTCATTCCCATGCTTTTCCTCTTAATTAACCAAACACTGTACTAATAAGCCCACGTCACTAGTAGCGTCATTGTGAGAATTTCTAAAGGAGCCTGGTGAAAACCTTGTTCGTAAACTCTGCACGTTGCTTCAGTCCAATTTGATTTGATGGATACCTCATGCCTACTGGACAAACAAGCTCTCTAATCTTCCGGTCAATTACACTTAATTAAAAATTAGAGACTGCAGTGGGAAAAAAAATGGATGCACTCTCCAAGCTTTCTAGAATGACTGAAATAATAAATATAAAACCCAATTTCAACTGCAAAGTGACGAAGGTATAGTTTTGGGAGGTGCTATCAGTTTTTTTCCTTTAAATTAAAATGATTAGTTGCCATCACCTCCAGTGAGTATCTTAAAAGAATAAAGACTTCCTTAATTAACACTTACTTTAAAAATCTTTTTTTTTTATTACATCAAAATTTTAGGAAACAAGTGCTAATTGACGACGTATTTTATATAATACATTAACAGCAGTTTTTCTTTAAGTCTAAGAAAATCCAAGAACAGAAAAAATATACATGTAATATATAATATATAATATGTAATAAATTATTCTCTAACTCTGGGCCCTAACAGGGAACACTTTTATATCATTTGAAAAGGATGACGCTAGCTGGGAGGGGGATCTATTAAGAGGGAAAAGGAAGCACAGAAACCCATTAAGAGTTTCCAGAGTACTCAGTGGGTCTTTACTCCTTGCTTGTTGCTTTCTTCATTTGCAACCTGAGCAATATGTAACCTCACTCAGAAGTCTGTTGCAAATGCATTAACTCATAAAGTGAATAAATACTTCAAGCTGTACATTTACTCCAAATGCCCTTACCCACTTCCAGAAAATTTACACCTTACTAGGAATTTGAAGGAGGTAGTTATTCTAAGGGCACCATAGATTTTTTTTAAAAAAACAAGTGATGTTAAATGCATATTTTGTCAGCATTGTTTTTACATTCAGCCTGCTTAACTACATATTTACAATGTTTAATTTATATTATAAGTCAAATTTTTGCCTCTATTCAACAATTATTTATTGTCTCTCTTTTTGTAAAACTTTGAGATTAAATGCAGGAAAAAGAACGCCACCTAAATCCTCCTAATATGCCTGTTTTTATTCATATTTGACTGCCAATTATCAGTGCTTTCGATGTATAAAAATATGCTGCACATATTTGGATGTTTATCTCATACATTCTGTGTTAACTCGTTCTGTATTTGAGGAAGAAGTTGTTGTGGTTTAGCTACTATAAAGTATGACTTTTTGGCATACTAAGTATCCTGAACTGAAAGAAGGCCTCACAAGCAGTTTCTCCTTAGCTTTCTGCTCACCTGTCTTCCTCCTTTTTCTTCCCTGAAGTGAATCATAGAAACCAACTTCCTCTTCCCAAAGGTTGCCCATAGGCACTAGCGGCCTTTCCCCTACAGCCAAATTAGGTGAATTAGAAAGGTCACCTCACCCACCTTCTCACTGGAGACTGTCATTGCAGAGGGATCCTGCCCTATAGCTGGGAGAAAGAATGCTGCACAGAGAGGATGAGAAGAATTTACACAGGTAAGACTTGCCAAGTTTTCTTCTCAGGACGCTGTCCTTAGATCATACTATTTTTGCCCAATCACATTTCTACATGCTGTCAATTCTTTTCAAAATACAAATAAAATCGATTAGTTTTCAGTGGGTCTTTGGGTCTGCACTTGTGAGGGCTCCCATGTCACATAAAATTTGATTAAATCCAGTTATCACACCTTTCCACTCATACCGATATAAATTACTGATCTTCAAGAGATGTAAATGGATTTGACACCTACAGAGCACTGTTTTAATCTTTGAAAATATTCTGTGACAATAGCTGACAGTTGCATCCCTCCTTGTTTTATAACTGATGAAATAAAGTGTAGAAATTATGAGTAATTTACCCATGGTCACACACTAGAACTGGGATTTAATTGTAGGCCTTCTGTCTGTCTCTAAAGTCCAGGAAGTTAAGCACTATCCTGTGATGAAGTTCAAACAAGTAAAGGACACTGATAGGAAAGTGTAACTTTTAGGTGGCCCAGACAGCTTGAGTATAAAAAGGGTTATTCCCATGCACCAGCTATCAATATGAGCCAGATTGTGAAAGGAATGATATTCAGAGAATATTTCAGAAGTTTCCTAAATACTTCACTTTTTGACATAAGCTTTATAAATATGGACAGAGAGACAGACAGACAGACAGACAGGCTGAGAGACTGAAACAGCCAGCTACTGGAAATCATATGTGTTCAGGTTTAGGCTCATAAACAAAAGGCTGTTTTTCTTGCGCTTATGCACATTCTCTTTATCTTCTTTAGAAATTCTTTTCCTTTCCCTTCTTTAAAGTTACAGAAAATCTAAAAGTCACTGGGAATAAGGGAAAAGAAAAAAATATGAGAAAATGAAAAAATGGAAATAAAGTGTTTGTAAAAGGGGAGGGGAGGAGGGGATGAAGGGAGGGCAGAGACAAGGGGAAAAAATGAGAACCAAGACCTGTCATGTAGAGGTACAGGATCCCAGTAAAGAATGTAAATGTACTGTATACCTGAAATGTACCAATAAACTCAATTAAAAAATAGTTGAGAACCACAGATAGAAAAAGAAAAAAATCTAATAAATATAAAACCTCCTAACTTTAGAGATTAAGAAATATTAGACTTAAATAAGTATGTACTATACCACAAATACTAAGCCTAATCTAGTGAGCACATGGAAAGAACAGAAATCCAGTGGACTTTGATCCACTGGTTATGATTCAGCAAGTGAGAAAGAATGAGATCCTGATCTAGGAATTAAGGAGATCCACTGGCAAATCCTGTAATTACAAAGATATGGTAAACTCTGGTATGCATTTAAAGAAAATGAGATCATTCGCTTTCCAAAAAGAAGATGGGAGAAAACTAGGAGAACACTGAAGTCTAAGGAATACCCAACAGATGTCCTCCAACAAAAGCAGGAGGAAAAAGAGAGCCAAGGTGGAGCAGAACTGGAAAGGGAGCATACTGAGAATAAATGAGAGGCATGCCCTGTGTCAGGAGGGCCCAGCTGCTCCTGTAAATTATACCCTTGTCCTGGATCCAACGCGCAAGCTTCCTGCAATGAATTTCATTAAGCATTACAGCGGGGTACAGGACACGGAAGAGGACAGTAAGATGATCTGAGGTTGGAATGAAGATGAGGATGGAGGAAAGCAAATCAGCAAGGAGGCCAGGGAGAAGAAAGAGGAGGGACAGAAATGAGAGAGGGAGATGAAGAGGGTAGGAAGGGTGGAGAAGAAGATGGCGGCCCTGAAGGAAAACATGGGTGGGGCCAGAGGAAGGGAAAGCAAGGAACTGGTACAGAAGTAGAAGACATAGCTGTGCTATTGTTTAGGGTCTAGTGCGGGTGACTTTTAGGCACACAGGGTCTGGGAGATGATAAGAGGACACAGTCTACATGAGCCTGTGGACAGTCCTAGTCCTATTTAACCTGTCCCTTGTCAGATGACTTCGAGCTAGGCTTTCTGTTCCTTCCTAAGCCTTGCAAGAACCTGTAAATCCCAGGCCACCTAAACCTTCACCCACCCATAGGAAGTCTCTTGCTCCTGGAAGTTAAGAGTATTCAAGGAACTGCGTTATTATAGTCACTTTTTAATACTACCCTTCTTTTCCTCATTTAAGTGAAGCCCTAGTCTGCCTATGCTTAAGCATTTATTAATACTTTCAAAAACATCTTAGTTAAATCCAGAATTTAAGACTCCAATACTGACTTGTAGCTTCAGTTTTCCTCTAGTCAACTTTGTGTGACAAATATCACCTTTGCACTCTTTCTCTCTGGACCTCCTTATTCATACAAAGCCATGTCTTGGAACATTTATGATAAAAGGTTATGAATTCTATGTTATATACCAGTTCTTGTATGACTTCTTTATAGATGTTGCTTACGAGAGGGCAATAAATATTTATAAAGCCCGTGGATCCATAAATACCTTCAAAGTAAGTTACCCAAATGTAAGATCTTGAGCTAAACACCACGGAGAATTTCTATGTCCCCCCAAAGCATAAGAATATGATATGGGGAGTTATTTTTGAGCATTATATCCATAATCAATAATTATGGACTTTTGACACATCTCTAATTTGCATACATGAGCTAAATTCCAAATATGCAAATAAAATCATGTGTAAAAATAAACACCCCTGTTTTTCTTATGTTGAGTGGCATCTTCCAGCAGCTTACTCCTTGTATGTTGATCTTAATTATGTCCTAAAGGTTTCACACTTCCAAGATTAATAGCAGCTGGCGTCACATTTCAGATTGGAAAC